ATACGGTATGAATGAATCTGAAGATAAAGATAAAGAATATACTTTTCATGGTCAACTATTACATAAAGTAGCTGCTGGAGAAATGATAATGCAAATGTTAAACAATTAAAAATAGAGTACATACTATGCTAGATCATATTCAAAATATAATGTATTGATGTATGTGAATATACACACATCGTTGATAAATAATACAGAATTTAAATATCATATATCTGGTAATATATTGAAGTTCTATACAATGTGCAAGTCACAAATATTCAAGTAAATATTGATATGAAATATATTTTGTCTTGGCTATATAAAAAGATGGTGAAGAAAATGGAAAGAGTTAATGTCATCATTACAATTCAATAAAGGAAATACAATATATTTTCGATTTAGTACATAAGTGAAGAATGTACCTCTTTCTCTTCAATTATTCATTCAAGCAATAATACATTTATAATTATAGTTATATAAATGGATACGTATTGCTTAAAATATAAAAAAACATATTACACAACAATTACATATAATATTAAACATGAAATAACCAAAATGGAAGACCTAGAAGAACACATTGGTAGATATCTTATCGAATGAAAATATATCATCATTAAAATGAAATGTATTTTTGTATTGATGTTCGTTTACAAGGTTCATAAGTTCATCTTTTCTAATTCTTGAATTTGCTTTATTACTTTTAAACTTACAGTACTCATTTAGCTGCTTTCGATTCATCTCCATTTATAAGAAACATTTTATTTAAAATGTGTTTTTATCGATCATAGGTAAGAGTAAATATATACAGTTTTTAAGTGATATCAAAAACCGATTATTTTTTCTTATAAATGGAGATGATAAAAAGATTCAGTAATTTAGGATTTGAATGTCTTGTGCTGTCTTATGCATACATCTAACTTTAAATTACATCAAAGTATTTGTTTAAATGGTAAAGAATATGAATTTTTAGTACAAGCTATTCAAACATCGTGTGGTAATGATATAAATACTAAAATTGATGAAGATGTAAATATTCAAGATAAGGATGAAAATATTCAAGATACTGAAGATGTAAATAATTGAGATCTGAGGATGTAAATATTTAAAATAGTGATGATTAAATATTCAAGATACTGAAGATGTAGATATGTAAATAATAATGAATTTCTATTATTTTTAAAATAAGTTTTAATTTTAAGACAAACCTTCTTGAGGTTCAAATTTCATCGAGTCAAATGTTGAGACAAACCTTACTTAAAATATATTATAGTAAAATTTCTTACATTTTTCTCTCAGTGCAAGTATTCATTTGTAAAGATCATTTGCCATATCTGTTTAAATAGATTATGTAAACAAAAATGACTGAATTTTCTGTATTTTTTGTGGAAAAATAATACTTAATTAATATTAATATATTATTACCCATAATCACAAAAATTACATATACACGAACTAAACATACTATTTACATATCATTAATACAATAACATTTTAAGCCCTCAAAATTATTAATATACTTCGTAAAAGTAATTCTTATTTTTAGACATTTTGTGTTTCATCATGTACGTTTTACTGATGCATTATTATATTACTATTTATAATCAAATATTAATTTATTTGTTAATTAATTAATTTACTTATTAATTAATTTATTTACATAATGGATGTACGCCTATTGGAGATATCACATTAAAAAATCGCGTCCAAGATTATCTACTTCAATCAAGTGATGTGGAAATAACAATTTATAAAAACATGTTGGCCGTGCCGACAGAGGGCCCACAACGGGCAGGTGGGTGACGCAACGGCATGGAAGGGGGTGGGGGAGGGCGAGGTGTTTTCCCAAATTTCACTTAACGACGCTCCTATTTGTCCGATTTGCATGATTCTCACGTTGTTGAGAAGTTTGAGAACTAATTTCAAATTCGATTTTTTGCTAGATTTTTTTAAAAATGGGCTTCATAGCGTAAATTCTATTTTAAAAAGGCGTCAAATGCCCTTTACAGATCGAAAATCGGACCATTGGTTCAGACGTTATCAGTAAAGTAAATTTTACTAACTTTGGAGCTGCCACATGTTGGCTACATATTGTACTAGTGTCGGGACATTTAGACTTAAGAGACACTTTGGCAGAGACATGGACCCGGAAGCAAAACTTAAACTCAGCAATAAAGCTGCTAAACCTAGAATCATGTGTCTCTGAATGGCTCATGTATGGCATGGGTAATGAAAGAGAGAGACAAAAAAACTACAGGCAGCACATATGGGATTTTTAAGACACCTTGGGAATCACAAGAAAAGACACACTAAAAAATAAAGACATTAGAAAAAGTGACAACCGAATGCTTAGTAGAAGAGATAGAACAGTCTCAAAGAAAATGGAAAGATAATTAACAGAGAATTAACAACAGATTTCCAAAATTAACATGGAAGTGCAAAACAGTGTAAATCAGACATAGAGACAAACCACTAAAGAGGTGGCAACACTTGGCAGACTAAGGCTGGCCTTACATTAGCAATACGTTTCCGCAATATCTTTCAGCAATTTGTTTGCGCTTCTTGC